TATGGAAAAACTCTTGAAAAATTATCGCGTTACATATTTGTTTAAATACATATCTTGCTTAAGTATAACATAAAGTAAATATACAATACATATATAATTCAATAAAAATGTTTTATAACTGAAAAGATTCTGGAATATTTTATATACATTCACTTGTAGATGTTTTATACAGATAATTCCTGTAAAAGAATAGGAATACGTAGCATTACTGCCTACACGATAATGATATTATGAAAGGAATATATAAGAGTTAGATATTAAAATCTTCATAATGTAAAAATTAAATATATAAAATTATATAAACTTTATAACTTATTGTATAATAATATTTTCCGATGTAGAATAAATCAATATTACGACATTATACGTGTTTCAGCCTTTGTATTCTCCCCTCTTCAAATGTACAAAAATATAAAAGTTCGCAAAGTTAACCATTTCAAGAAAGAAATGTTCCTGTGTAAAACTTGAGTAATAATAAAATATCAACGTGAGTCCATCAGAGGAACAGAAACTGCTCGTCAAAACGACTAATTGATTAAGAGATTCTGAATGTTCTGGTGAAACTACGAATTTATTTACAAATGACTTTTAAATGACAAGCAAGTATACATGTCACTCCGATAAGATCACGACGTCCAACATAGTACTAATTAAGAGAATAATCGTTATATACTATTGGCTTGGTGACACAAAGTCAAACTTTGTTTATAATTGGAAATACAGAAGGCTTACACAAATCATACATTCCATCAAGCCAACAGTATAACGATTATTCTCTTAGTCAGTGCTGTTTGGACATCGTTAACTATACAGCGTTAAACTTACTTTTTGACAAATTTTATTTTTATAAATATTTTTATTCATTTATAGAAGTTTCTAGTTATTATTATATTCATTCACTATCTCAAGTTTTGACTATGTCTTTACATGCTATATTATATTGATTACGAGAATTAAATCATTGACGAGCATACACTATAGAGATGCAACTCAATACGTATTATCGGATCGATGAGTCTTATCGGAGTGATGTATACTTGTCATCTAAAAGTCATTTGTAAATTCGTGGTTTCACTAGAACATCCAGAATCTCTCAATCAATCGGCCATTCAACCTTTGACGAGAAGTTTTTCCTTTGATGGACTCATGTTGGTATTTTATTATTACTGACAAGTTTTATGGTACATAGAAACGTTTCTTTCTTGGAAATGGTTAATATCTTTGCGAATTTTTATATATTTTTATACATCTGAAGAGGGACAATACAAAGGCCGAAACATGTGTAATGTCATAATATTGATTTATTCTACATCGGAAAATATTATTGTAAGTTGTAAAATTTATCATATAATTTCATATATTTAATTTTTACGTTATAAAGATTTTAAAATCTAACTCTTATATGCCCTTTCATAATCGTGTATTATTAACAAGAATTCTTTATACTGATTGTTTTTTATTACTGCCTACTGTCAGTTTTGGATCTCTATTTTATCAGACACTCATTTTTTGTTTATCTTAAAAAATTAATTATTGCAAAATTGCAGTATTACAAAAAACTGCTTATACTATATCTTATAGAAGACACTTTTTAATTTGTACTTATATTTTTAAAGTTTTATTTTTATCTTTTGTTTAAGAAATATTGTCTAAAAACAAAGTAAAATCGGTGACTTTTCTTTATAATTTTTTTTATTTATTTTTTATGAGAGTCGTGCTAGCATATTTAGGGACGATTTTTGATTGATCATGCTGCTTATTTATGCGCAACATCTTGTCTAATTCCATCATGATTTTGATATTATTGATTTGTTCTACTTTAAGGATATGTTAGACGTACAGTCTCTGCAAAGAAAATCAAATTTGGAAGTATGTTTAATATTTACACTCCAAATAAACTACATACATATGAAAGTTGTATGAAAAATTATATTTTCACTTAATAATATATTTTTGTAGTTTATTTATTTTATTTTATTTTTAAAAATGAAAATTTTA